CCAACAATCTCTCTAATTTTAGGGTTGGCTATATGATTTTTTTTCCGCACCTTTGTTCACTCTGAACATCCAAAAGATCTAGTCCATGTTTGACAAAGCTTTTATACTAAAGTTGGTCAAGTGCACTTACACACACACTTACACACACACACTCACATGTGTGTGTGTGTGTGTGTATATGCATGTATGTATGTATGCATCCACAACTTATTACCCACCTCACATAGGCACTATAACAATCTTTTGTGGAAAAGCCATAAAATTTTCTTTTGCATGGGAATCCTGACTGAATTATGTTAAAAATCAGTTTTTGTCTTAGTGTCAACATATGATAATTCCTACAATTCCGATTTAAATGGGCCTTCATGGTCGTATATTTTTCAAATTTAGTTAATAAATTGAGGGTGAACGTTATATGACAGGGAAAACCATTGGAGGTTAGGCAAGCTGCAGGGTTGCTTCTGAAAAATAACCTTAGAAGCGCATTTAAAACCATGCCACCTGCAAACCAACATTATATAAAATCAGAGTTGTTACCTTGTCTGGGAGCCCCAGATAGGCAAATCAGGTCTACTGCTGGTACTGTCATTAGTGCTTTTGTTCAGATTGGTGGAGTTGCGGGATGGCCTGAATTGCTGCTCGCGCTTGTAAAGTGCTTAGATAGTAATGATCCCAATCACATGGAAGGTGCTATGGATGCTCTGTCTAAGGTATATATAAATTTGTCTCGTTGAATTATATGTGAATCGCAAATATTTTACTTATAATTGTAATTTATTTTAAACCTATTTTGAGACAACTTCTTTATGCATAATTTTGGATTATCTGAACTATAGGCCTGTTACTGCCTGTTGCTTTCTTCTGTACATTTCTCGCCCATAAACCGTTTTGTGAAGGCAGCTGTCTATTTTGGTGGTATAATAACTACAAATCTAGTTGAATCTGGATAACACTTCCTAAAGATTTGATTTGACGCAGATTTGTGAAGATGTACCACAATTGCTAGATGCTGATATTTCTGGATTATCTGAACGACCTATCAATGTTTTTCTTCCAAGATTTCTCCAGGTTCTTGCATTTCTATCTTTTTCTCCTCTCCCCTTGACCCAACCACTCCCACAATAATATTTGGTTTTTATTGGTTGGGCTAATAATATTATAAACCTCTTTAATCATTCTTCAACCTATTTATCTTTTTTTTAATCTGCAAACAGCTTTTCCAATCACCACAGACTACACTACGAAAGCTTTCCTTAGGTGCGGTGAACCAATTCATCATGCTCATGCCTACGGTGAGTACAACTCAGTTAGACTTTGAACTGCAACTTCCCTGTCTTTCCTTTAGGACTTATTTCGATCTGAAAGAGTTGGAGTGTCATCTGTTATCAGGTATTGTATATGTCCATGGATAAATATCTGCAAGGTTTGTTTGTTCTTGCTAATGATCCTGCTCCAGAGGTGCGGAAGTTGGTAAGGAATTTTTCCTATTGTCATTTTTTAATCCACAGGAGTCATATGCATCGTACTTTTGAATCAATGTATAAGATGTGCTGAACAATTACATTTACTCTCTTGTTTCCCCTGTTACTGATGTTACAAGTAGTATTTTATTATTATTATTATTTCTTTTTTAAAATTTAGGATATTGTGCCAATAATTTGGCAGGTATGTACTGGTTCTTCATTTCGGCTGAATTATTATTCACCACTTCATTATCGGTCTTTGTTTTACCTTGAAAGATTTAGTTAATTATGATGAATCTTGGTACATATTAATCTTCCAATAAATGAGCTAGTGTGTTGCGAAGATTAGTGACTTGGATGACCACAATTTGTAATGCTGAAGTAGGGTGACTGTTATTCAGTACATGCCTCTGGGTAAAGGCATCGAAGTTTTCTTGAATGTTAAGTTTCTTAGTGACAAAGTATTGTTAGGTTAATGAATTTTTCTTACGATGTCGTACTTTTCGTATGACTTGCATTCTGGCTCTGTGGCTCTGTTTGTAGCCTAGACTGATTTTGGGCCTGCAGTATGATTTTGAGTGTACTATTCACAAGCCTTAGTTTTGTAACTTTCTTTTCAAATTCTAAGTCAGCTGTGTCTAACTGATTAATTGGGATTGCTTCATTTAGCTTTCTGCCCTTGTTTGAACAGGTGTGCTCAGCATTTGTTCAACTTATTGAAATTCGTTCGGCTGTCTTGGAGGTGCGCCGTTTTCTTTCCAAAATATGTCTGTCAAATGTAGGATGTTAATTAGTTTCAAATGTCACCAGTCCTCTCGTTTTTTCATTTAAAAAATTAGCCAAATCTGATGATAATTCACAGTTTTATTCTTCGCCAATATTCCAATTTGCACCTGCTGCTGTTCCCTTATATAATTTTGATTTAATTGTGCAGCCACATTTAAGGAATGTAATAGAATATATGTTGCTAGTTAACAAGGATTCTGACGATGAAGTAGCTCTAGAAGCCTGTGAATTCTGGTAATTTTGTTGCTCTCTGGTCGAGATGTTTGATTATCTTGATATCCTCTTAAAATGGGGGAAAAGCCGTGCTATTCTTTCACCTTTTCCCTTACCTTATATCATTGGTGTCAAAAGTGAAGTCGATTCACTTGCTAAAATTGAGAATGCTTCAAGTTCCAGAAATTATTTGTGATGTCATCTTTGTGCCTTGAATCTTGTGCATCCTGTGAGGTCCTCCTCAAATAGTAGTTTAAGGCTGTCATTTAGTCTATTGAAATTTTCATTGGAAATGGTTTTCGTTAATTCAGTTTTGGGAAAAGGAAAACAATGATGCACACTTTTGTTTAATGCACTATTTTTAGTTTCCAGCTCGCTGAGGCACTCCTTTCTCTTTGCTCTGATAAGAATTTTGTGGGGGAGTGTCTGGTTGGTGGGTTGATAGATAATTACTGTGTCTCCATTCAGTTGAGTATCAGAATATTTCTCGGATTGTCGAGGATTAGAAAGGACCTTTTTAACAACTTATTTTAAGAATGTATTAGATATCAGGTTTTGAATTATAACTGCTACTGAAGAGATTTTTATTTTTTTATTTGAGTTTATGTGTAGATATACATGTGCAATGTTTCAAATTGCAGCACATATATTGAGATGTGAGACCTAACAGTTTTTTGAATTTGATCTTTTGATGATGAAGATTCCCTAGAATGTGATCCTTCATCTTATGGAGGCTGCTTATATTTTTGTCATATCCTAGTTGATTGCACGCTATTTTCCTGTCTACATGTATTTGATTAATGAGGATAACAGAGCTTTGAATTTTGTTCTCTCCCCATCAGGGTGAGCTTGAATGATATGAGCCAGTTCTCATGGGGGTGGTGAGATTAGTCACATTTGTACAAGTAGTAGGCTTTTGTTGTTTTGGGAATTAAAATTGCATTTTCTAAACTCTTTCTTTAAGGAGTAATTCAAGCACTTTAAAGTTGAGCGTCTAGTAGGTTTCTATAGCTATACTTGAATCGAAAGATGGTGAACTTGTCATTCTACGACAAATTGTTATATGACCTATTAAATCAATATCTTTAGTTATACCGCTGAAAGTGCAATTAGCTTCCTTGCAGATGGACATGAGATCTTTAGCTTAGCTTATTCTCTGGTAATTCATAATTGCTTTTGGCTTGTTCAGTTACTGTGAGGCATTTATTCTTTTTGGTTAACACCATCTTTCTACTCTTAAATAATGAGATGTCTTGATTTTTATTTATTTATTTATTTTCACTATTTAGCTGCTTACTTGTTGATTGACAGGTCTGCTTATTGTGAAGCTGATTTGCCCCCTGAGAACTTGAGAGAGTTCTTGCCACGTCTTATTCCAGTATGGTTTATGACGTGATTAGCTTTTCACTAAATGAGATTTTTCTTCATATTTGCTGGTGAATTTACCCCTATGTCTGCAGGTATTGCTGTCGAACATGGCTTATGCTGATGATGACGAATCGCTTGTGGATGCTGAGGTTTTGTTGCTGGTTTCATATCCTGAATCTACTTCTTTATTCAATAAGGTGGATGACAAATTAATGCTCTTTGATTTTTCTTTGCTACTTTGTCATTGCAGGTGGATGGATCTCTTCCAGATAGAGATCAGGTTCAGTTGTTAGACCTTTATAATATCCTTCTGATTTTAGTTTCCTTCAAAATATTTCTCATTAGTAATTGGGTTGGGCAGGATCTGAAGCCTCGTTTTCATTCATCACGTTTTCATGGGTCAGAGGATGCAGAAGATGAGGTAACTTCTCTTATTTTATCATTATTTATATGGATTTGGTTGAAATAGAGGGATGGGTGGACTTAAACTTGTACCTGAATCCCTTATTTCTTGGCCAACTTTCCTTCTTTTGTTGACCAGGATGATGACATTGTCAATGTATGGAATTTACGGAAGTGCAGTGCTGCTGCTCTGGATTTTCTATCTAATGTATTCGGAGATGAGATTCTATCCACTTTGATGCCAATTATACAGGTAGATAGTTGATTTACATGTAATTAATATAGAGGCATTGGGAATTGTTTTTTCCTTCTCTATCCTAAATATTCCATTTTATATTTACTTAGTTGAATTTTTATTTATAACCATACTCTATTTGAGTTTGCTTAAGAAGCACGGACGCGATACGACAGGTATTGACATGTTGACACGTGATTTTTTGAAAAAATAGGACATGTTGATTTAAACTCTTTTAAACTGTACATGTATGTAGTATATCTTTGTTTTTATACTTGATAATATATATTAGTTTTTTTTGTTGAAATCTTTTAAATAATAGTAGCCATTTGTCATGTTAATGTAGCTCGAGTTGCACCATATGTTATGACTGACAAAAAAATAAAGAACATGACTATAGTAGATTTTCCAGGGAGTGTTGGTCACATGTTTCACACATACAATCCACCGTAGTGTCTGTGCTCCATAGGAGTCTGCATTGGTGTAATTTTCCTGATTGTATAAAACTGCAAATTCTCCTGCTTGTCTGAAAAATTCTTTTGCTTTGCATGCATTAACCTATGGAACTTGAATTATACTAGTTCCGTGATTTGACACAAGTCCCCGTAGATTTAATGATTTATTGAATGGGAAGGCAAAAAAGGATTAATGCAGCAGCCGTCTAATAGGAATTGATACCTATACTGCATAAGCTTTTGTTGAATGAAAATGACTCAATAAAGTAATTCTTTTGTTTGTGTGTCTATAGACAACATAAGTGGAGGATTCCCTGACTTTGTTTTACATGGGTTGTGTTCTCCCGTGGTGCATCATTAGTCAACTACGGATTATCATTGACTGAAACTTACTATTCTAATTGATATATTGTATCAACTAATCTAAGCTTCTCTCTTTTTCATATATAATGAAACTTCTGACATTTGCTTCTTTTTGCAGGCTAATTTGTCCACTACAGGCGATGCAACTTGGAAAGACAGGGAAGCTGCAGTATTAGCTCTTGGTGCCATAGCTGAGGGTTGCATTAACGGTCTCTATCCTCATTTGCCAGAGGTAATTTTTTTTTTTTTTTTTGATACTTCCATATGGAGATTAGCCAATGAAGTTATTAAATGAGACTTTATACTCATTGGTATACAATATAAATGTTTTTGGATATCTAGCCCGTTATACTTGTATTGTCTGTTTTAATTGTTGTTTTTTCCTCATCAACTCTCATATGAGCATTGTGTTATGTGTGTCCTCCTTTACCTTTTGTGACCAAACAACTTAAAATGGTGATAAGAACCTGTTGCTGCTGATAATCTGCTGGACCTGGGAAGTTGCTGATCAACTGGAAGACTAGAAAAATGTATGATAATGCAATGTAGAAGGCAGATTATTGTAGAACAATAGATTTTATTTTGAATATATTGAACATAATTTTGTATTGACAGAGTAACAGAAATGAAATGACAATTCCAGGCTATTCGAGATACCTTGGTTCTCTGACTCTCCACTCTTTTCTCAACTAATCACCTGAATGAGTAATTCCCATATCCCTCCTCTTCACATTTATAGACCTTCCCTCCATGGCACTATTAGTTATTTCATTCTACTAACTGATTAGTGAAACATTCTAGAAGAGTAGCTGACGTGGCTGCAGCTATGTTGGTGTTACTGAACCGGATTGGAGTCTATCATTACCCATCGCAAGGTGGAAGTTGTTGGATTGGTCAGTTCATCATGCAACTACACCATTTTCCTGACAAGCACTCCTATAGTGGTCCCACGGAAAAGGAACGTTTCAACCCTTTGAAATGGACGGGCTTACTTAATCGAGCAATTATCACAAGTATTTTATCCAAGGCAACTCCATAGCTCCTTGGCCCTATCCACAAAGAGTCCCAGTTTTGAACCTGACCATCCATGAAAAAAATTGTAGCTGATTGGACCCCTTTTCACTGCCACTGTTGAATGCCTTCCTGTGGCTGCTGTAGATTTTTGAGTTGTGGTGGGCTTTTGGTGGATGGAGTAAATTTTCTGGAGATAATTGTAGTGATGGTTGGGATTTAAGTTTGGGCTCAGTTGATTAAAGAAGCCGCGTCTGAGAGGACTAATGCTGTGTAGGCTGGGCCTTATGTTTGGGTTATGGATATTACTTCTAATTCTATATGGATTTGGTCATTTAGGCTTGGGTTATAAGTATTAAGTTTAGGTGGGCCATAATTGAGTTAGGCTTGCTTCCTTGTATTCCAGTCTTTAACCCTTTGGGCCAAACCTGGTTCAACATTTTAACCTTAGCCCCTATCATGGATTTCAGCCCACTCACCAAATCACGCTCCAATCCCTCTTCCGGTGACGACGACATGGGAGCTGCTATGATTTCGAACATCCTCCGGTCCTCCTTGCTATTCTGGTCGCTTGTTGTGGCTTTAATTTCCTCATGTTTAGGTGGAGTTTCAAAGGTAAGGGTTGATTCGGTGAATTGGCTTTCACCCCTTTTTCCTCTCTCCCGTTTTGCTCCACCAACAATGACTTCTTCACCTCCACCGTTTCCATTTTTTTTTTCCTGTAGGCTTTTGCTCACGGAACATTCTTCTCTCAGTCCTCTTCGCAGACTCATGGGCTTGAAGCTTTTAATCAAAATTCATATGTGGCAATTCTATCGCCACGGTATCTCCTTATTGTCTACATGCTGGAAATTCCTCAATCATGGAGCCTCCCTACAAAATTGATCCCGCATCACACACTTCAATTTATCCCAAGTTCGCACAGGCTAACATTGATACATCTGCTGGGACCAATCCTATGCTTCACCGTCAAAACACGCTGTAGCAGCTTCTATCTTCTCTGCTTCCGATAACTAATTTTTAGAGAAAATCTCCTCAGCTCTCAAAAACCACCACTCGGTATTATCACCGTGGAAGATGGAGATTATGAGTCGCCCTTGTGAATCCAATCGTAACTCCTCTTCTCGGTCTCTCTCTTCCGGTAACCTTATCATCTTTTCCAATCGTTTCATTATCGAGCCCCAACTCTCGTCCATTTCCTTGCTGAAATATGTTGCCATTGCCCCTGAGATTGATGCTTTGATACCACTTGATAAGAACCTGTTGCTGCTGACAATTTGCTGGACCTGGGAAGTTGTCTATCAACTTGAAGACTAGAAAAATGTATGATTATGAAATTTTGAAGGCAGATTATTGTAGAACAATATATTTGAGCTTGAATAAATTGAACATAATTTTGTATTGAGTAACAGAATTGAGACAATTCCAGACTATTCGAGATAACTTGGTTCTCACCACTCTTTTCTCAACTAATCACCTGAATAATGAGTAATTCCGATACCCCCCCTCCCCCCTCTTCACATTTATAGACCTTCCCTCTATAGCACTTTTACTTATCTCTCCCTCTACTAACAGATTAGTAAACATTCTAGAATAGTGGCTGACGTGGCTGTAACTATGTTGGTATTGCTGAACGGGATTGGGGTCTATCAAATGGGCACTCATGTCAAGCATTTATAAAATACGGCCCACCTCTTCATCATGTACATTTGTTTTGGTTTCAGTGGTTTGTGCTGGGAAGATTTCTACGCTTGGACAAATACCTCATTCAATGATATGATCTCTCCGTGGACGTGTAAAGTCAAAAGTTTCAATTTTTTCTGAAGCAAAGGATTTTAGAATGATAATACTTTTTATGAAGTGCAGTATTTCAACAGTCAATAAGAGTAGGTGAATTGCTTATGTTTCCGAAAAAGTCCCAACTGGTAGACCATGACAACGTGATTTGAACTATGAGATAAGAGGTTTTGGCCTGTATAGTGTGTTTGAAGATCAGACATTTATAATAAAATCCTGGATGCTTTAACATATTATTGTTAAAAACCCTTGGTTTGACCACCATTTTATGCTTAATAATGTCTCTTCTTGTCTTGTAATAAAATTCTGTGCAACTTGATATTAATCTGCTTGAGCCCTTCTCCATGTGCCTGTTAAGCTACCATGAAAACACCGAGTGAAGTGTCAGATATTTTGATCTCAAAACTTGCAATGATATCTGCATTGTAGGTTTTCTTGTTTTCGATGCTATCCCACCTGACATTGCAGTGTTTTCCCTTCGTAGTGATGTTTGGTTTATGCATTTGTTATTTCGGTAGGAAATGTTTTTCTTTTATTTGTCAATTTTTCTTACGGTCTTGGTTTTTTTCAATATTTTGGTCTAATTTATCTGGAGACTCGTTTGTCATGTTCTGTTCTGCAGATTATCACGTTTCTCATCCCACTTTTAGATGACAATTTTCCTCTGATACGAAGCATCTCTTGTTGGACCCTATCCCGGTTCAGCAAATATATTGTTCAGGTAAGATATCACAACTGCTTATTGCTTTTCCGGTGAAACTTGAGGTAACTTTTAAATTTTTCTTACAATGAATTGCAGAGTTATGTCCAGTAACTGCCACTGTTTTCCAGAAATTGTTTACTGCATTGCAATATTTGGAAGTATTATATTTAACTAACATATTTAAAGCTGTTACTAAGAATAAGGCCAGACTTAATAAATAGATATTACGCAGAATAAAGACAAAATATGTCTGTGGAAACATTGATATGTTAAGAGCAAAATGTGTTAGAATTTCATATGAATTTTGCTGACTGACGCCAATGTTTGTTGAATTAGGTGCATTACTGAATGAGTTCTCGAGTTGTTGGTGAAAACAACACTTCACAAAACTCTTAGTTGATATGGATATGGTTCTCATTCAATTTACTGTTTCATCTGAAAGGGTTCATTATAGAATTATATTAACTTATTTTGAACAAAATAGGCCAAAACCAGTGGTTTCCCACTAAGTGGGATTGAATCTAGTTTCCTTAAGAATACACCATATCTGTGCTACTCCTTGGAGGATATCTGTGAGGGATGGTTTCAGGGCTTTATAGATTATCAAACACGGGTCAGGTTCAATAAGGTTGGAAAATGCAGTCTTTACTTGGGCCTGTCACCTGTCAACATTAAAGGTCCCTAATTATAAACATTCTATTCAAAATCCGACTAGGAAAGAAATGGTCACAATGATGTGGTATTTTATAATGGTTAAAGTGAAAATTGTGAATGTGTTATTTTGCCGTGGTGATTGGATATTACAATTGCCTGTCAGATTATCATGCCACTTACGGTGGTCTGGGAGGCTCCCAGATGTAAAAGAGGATTTATTTCTTTAATGAAGATGTCTGTGGTTTATCAGTTTTTTTTTTTTTTTTTCTGCTTTATATCTGCAAAGGCTTCTTGATTCACCAAAAGAGCCATGTTTGTAATTGTTTTTAAATATTCAGCACTTTCTGTCTGTTCCAGGGTATTGATCATCAACAAGGCCGAGAGCAATTCGACAAAGTTCTTGTTGGCCTTCTAAGAAGAATATTGGATGACAACAAGCGGGTGCAAGAGGCTGCATGTTCAGCTTTTGCAACACTTGAAGAGGTATCTTAAGAAAGCTATATGTAATTGGATCCTCATCTTCATTCTCATTCACACCAACATACTTCCATATATGCAGGAGGCTGCAGAAGAGTTAGCTCCACGATTGGATATCATTTTGCAACATTTGATGTGTGCCTTTGGAAAATATCAGGTTGGCTTATGTTCCTTTCGTTGACTGTTCTAGCTTTATATAATTGGTTATGAGGTTATACCTGTTGATGCTTATTAAAAATTCCCATCACAGCTCCTGGTGTCTATTCTCCCCCTTGTCTCTTTTTTTCTTTCTTACAATATAGTGTCATTCTTCCAGAGACGAAACATCAGGATTGTATATGATGCTATTGGAACATTAGCAGATGCTGTTGGTGGGGAACTGAATCAGGTAGAATTGATCAACAGTGCTTGCATGTATTTTCCAATTTCTGTTTTCGGCAGGCGTACTGTTGTATAAAGAGCTTTTTCACCTTCAGATTTGTATCAACTAACTATAATACTGATTTTATTGTGTTGATAATGCAGCCCAAACATCTTGAAATCTTGATGCCGCCACTGATTGCAAAGTGGCAGCAACTTTCCAACTCGGACAAAGATCTTTTCCCACTGCTAGAATGCTTTACATCAATAGCACAGGTACTTAATTGTCTGTGTCATGTTCAGTTCATATAAGGTATCTGGTCTTCTACATGAAGGTAATCGAATGTGTATGTTTTAGTAGTTTTGGTGATCTTATAGCTTAATTACTGCTTTAAATATTTCCAATTCATCATTTATCAGAACTTTTTTCTTAGTTTGGATACTTTTGATCAGTTTGACACTATGATTAATCAGAATACTGAAAAGCAGTGCTAAGTACTTACATGGTAAAGCCTGGTTAAGTTTTAACAAATCAAGTTCAATATTTAGCCCTTGTTGATGGCCATTATTGGAAGAAACAATGTTTTGAATATTGAATTTTTGGAGAGAGCGTGTTTGAAAAGTATAGAATACTTCTTGGTTTACGTGCGAAATATTTTATTCTGTGATTGTGTGGTTGAAAACGAGTACGTAAAAAAGAGTGTTGAATCAAAGGCCATCAAACAGGCTTAACTAGCATCTATTATTACTTGTTGATTACAAATTTTAGGTAAGTGCCAACATTTGTATGTAAGTGAGCCCTGGAAGAAGGGGCTGGGGGTCACGAAGTATGCTGAAACTTTTGGTTGAGTTGTATGATCTAGTATTATCTGTGCACTTAATAACTTCAATTCTGATAGAAGAGATACTTTTCATGCTCCTGTGCTCCAATTATATGTTTTCTATATGGAGCATTCAATAAGATTGTTCTGTTGGATTTTTGTGGCATTTAGTTTCTGACTATATACTTCATTTTATTTAAATTTTAGTTTTGGACATGATTGTATAGAAGAAAGTGTGTAATTGTTCTCTTTTCAGGCACTGGGTCCCGGATTTTCACCGTTTGCCCAGCCAGTGTTTAAGAGATGCATAAACATCATCCAGACCCAACAATTGGCAAAGGTTATAATTAGACATGACATCCATTCACTCAGTGACAATTTTTATTTTCTTTGGTAGAATTGGAAATTTTATGAAGCTGTTCAACTTCATTGATGCCACCACATTACAGCATTGACACAAGCAGTTCTGAATCTTACTGAACCTGTTCCTCAGTTTCTCTAATATGCAGACATACAAAAATTATTTGTAGATCCTTGTTGATTACGATCAAGTGTTCTTCCTTTGATATCCACACAAATAGTTTTAGTGTGGCCATAATGAATATATAATTCTCAATTTGAAAATTTGAACAAGATTCTACTTTGTTTCCTTTAACTTGTACCATTTTCTTGTCTTAATTGCCACTATTATGCACAACCTTCAGGCTTCAGCTTTGTGATTAATTTTTTCCCTTCATTTGATGTTCTATTATTTATGTCTGGTAATTATCAAATATTTTTCTAACCATATCATATTCTTCCGTGTCAGTTGCATTCCATATATTGCAGCTAGAACAATTATCAGAATTTAAATATTTACTTATTTTTTCAAAATTGGCTGATTGATTGAGAGTTTGCTTTTAGGTTGATCCTGTTTCGGCCGGTGCAAAGTATGATAAAGAGTTCATTGTTTGTTCTTTGGATCTTCTTTCTGGACTTGCTGAAGGTCTTGGTGCTGGGATAGAGAGTTTGGTACTTACTTCTACCCCAATATCTTATTTAGACATATCATATAATTTTCGTATGTGTACAGGAGTGTTCTTCAACTGTTATAAATTATTAAAAATGAAAATTCTTGACAAGTAAAGCTCTTTTCCTGAAGTAAACTATTGAAAGACGAGAAAATGAAGAGTTATGACCTTATATTGGGTCAGTAGCTTTTAGAGACTGTTAAATATTTGAAGTCCTTCTGGTTATTCTTTTTGTTCATTGTGTTCTTAATATGGGAAAATAAATTGGCATCTTGGTCTTGGTGAATGCCAGTTGCCGTTCTTATAGTTCTTTATATAAGTCCTCGTGATTTTGACGATTCTCTAGTCGGGTACTTTCTATTCAGTGTAACTATACTTTCATCCAGTTTCATGAATGAAACTGTGCTTCAAATTTGTTCAATCGGGCAAATAAACTTTAATTTGATTTCAATCGGGTTACTGTGTCCAATTCAATCACTTGGAATGATGTAATTTATTTCACTAAAGTTGCACTTATTTACGTCAACAACTAACGGCCCCGTGTGATGATAATCATTTATTGGCTGTCATGTCATCAATTTTCATTACTTTAATTGGACTAGACAAAGTTACCTTAATTGAAATCAAATTAAAAAGTAATTACTCGATTGAAATCATATTGAAGGGGAGTTAGCTGTTTGGCATTGTAGTTTTTCAATTTAACAAAATTGACATACAATTTCTTGGATTTGTAGTTTTTCAATTGAACAAAATTGACGTACAATTTCTTGATTGAAACTATATGAAAGTATACTTACTGCGAATTGAATTTACCTGCTATAGTCGATGCCACATGGCTCTGCCTTGAGACTTTCTTTAGGATCAACATATAAAGTAGCTTGAACGTCATTCAGCAGTTAATATTTCTATGAGATTTTCTTCCTTTACCGTTCTTTGCTGCAGGTTTCACAAAGTAATTTAAGGGACTTGCTTCTGCAATGTTGCATGGATGAAAGTCATGATGTCCGCCAAAGTGCTTTCGCGTTGCTTGGCGACCTTGCTAGAGTAAGATGTGAACTATGTTATTCCTACACTTCAATTACCATCTTACATGACAGGATATAGGCATGGCACCAGTAATGTGTCCAAATCTTTGAAAACTGACATGACTCTTAAGCACCTGATTTAAGTCCCAGTCATTAATCCATAACTAAAATTTTCATACAATATAACCAGATCCATCTATAATGACAATATTAACAAAGTAATCAGATATGTCTCTCTCCTATCGTTTTCTAGTTATCATATATATTCGCTGGAGCTTGATTTCAATGTTAAATTCATAGAGAGCATCGCTGGGATCATTATCATAATAATATCTTATTACGAATAGCCCCTTTAAAACAATAATCACCATATGTGATCCTGGGTTGTGCTCCTTAAATATATCAGTTACTTTTCACTTTTGTTTGTTATTCTGCAGTAGCAAGACCATGGCCTGTAAAGACATAAAAAGGAAATGAAAACAATGATACTCTACAAGAAGAAAACAAAGTCACGTGTCTATTTTTTATGATCCGGTTGTGTTTATAATATCCAAAATGACCTTTCAGCTTAAAAAATAATACCAAAAAAAATGCTGAGTCCAGTAATAGAACATCTAGAAAAGGTAAGACAAACAGGCGCACACCTCAGCCTCAATGAGTCTTGATGTAGGCTGCGAAATGACACTGAAGGCATAGCTCCGAGGAGTTAAATGAAAGCCTCGTGTGAGGCCATGCCTGATTGTGCTGTTTATGAGTAGAGCCTTGTTGTTCCTCCTCGCTCCCAATCTACCAATGTATTTTATTTGTTGAATCTTAATGCAGTCAGACACATTCATCGTTCTTCTTTGTAATGATTTTATTAGGTCTGTCCTGTTCATTTGCATTCTCGTTTACCTGAATTTCTTGATGTTGCTGCCAAGCAATTGGTGAGTAAATCGCCACTCTACTGAATTCTGATGGCAATATTTTCAGTAGCCACAAAAGCTCATTGTCTAATTAACATATGCTCTATCAGAACACCACAAAACTGAAGGAAACTTTGTCTGTTGCCAACAATGCATGCTGGGCTATTGGAGAACTAGCAATAAAGGTATGGTTATTTGTTATGCATCATCATGTATTGATCAAAATGAGGAAACAACTCGCTGTTAGATCATGATTATCAATTCACTAGACAAACCGTACTTTCTATGTAATTGCTGCGCTTCAATTTTTGTCCCTTATTTCTTCATGCTTTAACCCTTTACGGCTTTTCCTGAAACACAGCCATTTGGATGATAGATTTGTGACATTTATGTCCTATTTATAATAGTAATTTAAAGATTATAATTCGCATTCTTATCTAATTGCATCAGTTTGAATGGTTTTTCTCGGTTTTGAGCATAATGTGCGTTTGAACAATGCCTTTAATTCGTTTCGCATGCTACCCCTCTGCTTCAGAGAGTATCTTATTATGTTTTTATCTATTGGGCGGAAATCATTTTATTAGCTTGACGATCTGCTATATGATATTTTGAATTTCAGGTTCAAAAGGATATGTCATCAATAGTGTTGACTGTAATCTCATACTTAGTCCCAATACTTCAACGTCCTGAGGTGATCATTCACTTGGTATTTCATTGCATTTTTTGGCTTTTTTTTTGTAAAGATGCTATGGCATATATGTAAGAATCTAAGAAGCACGAGTACTTGTAAATTCATTGTGTACCCCTATGTGATATGCATCTAAGCTTGGATACGTTCGATACCCTTTGATACGCATTGGATACATGTTTTTTTTAATTATTTTATATTTTTAAAATTTTTTTGATACGTATCGGATACTTACTATTTAATTATTAGATATTTCTTTTATTTTCGATACGTATCATATACATATTTTTAGTTATTTCATATTTTTTAATTATTTTCGATGTGTATCTGATACTTGAGGTCAAGTGAAGAAGAGTGTTATTGATTTTAAACTCTTTTCAAATTCATTATTATTGGCTATAGATAGATTTTTTCTTCTTCTTCTTCTTTTTTTTTTTTTTTAGTGAGTTTAATTCTATCACTGATCGGAATAATATGGATTCAAAGACCTGGTGGCCACTTCATGGTTCACATGCACCTTTGCTTCAAAGTATTGTTTTGAACTTCTCGTGTTGAAAGAAATTGGAGAACGTACTTTTTTGTGCACTCTGAGTCTGAGACATGGCAATCTTCATTTTTTGTCAAGCCAATTAAATTTCTATTCAAATAGAGAATCCAAAATGTGGAACATTGTCAGAGACTCACTCGATGCTATTGAAGGTGTTGAAATGCTTGAGGTTACTTAATCTATCATTAGATAAGTCATAGTTGGAGAGTTATTTTTAATGATAATGAAGATGTTGAAGAAAATGAAGTTCGGATAATCAAGGATTAAAGTAAAATGCTCTAGTATTTTATTTTATTTTTATTATTATGCTTTTGTTTTAATATTTTTTATATTAATAAAATTATGTTGAATTTTATAACATGTATTCGCATATTCTAATTTTTTTAAAAAAAAAGCCATATCGCCCCTACCCATATTGTATTTGAATTACATATATGTATATGTATCTGTATCTGTATTTGTGCTTCTTAGATACGAATCAAATACTATTTTCCTATTCCTGAGGCATATCTTTGATTACTTCAAAATTTCCATGATTCTATAAACAATAAATTTCCTGTTTGATAAATAAAACAAATGGCAATTCTCTTAGGGAATGTAGCACTATTCTTCTTCTTGTTATTTTTTGAAAAATAATTCCATGATGCTATAAATAATAAATTTTCTGTTTGATAAATAAAACAAATGGCAATTCTCTTAGGGAATGTAGCTCTATTCTTCTTATTATTTTTTGAAAAACAAAATTACGATGGCAAAATCGGAAATAATCTTGTTTGACTTCTGCCTTTGTGTCTGCTGGAAGCACTTGTCACTGATTGCCATTCAATCCACCACCTAATACTGAATAAATTTGTACAGTGTCTCAAGCTTTGTTTTATGGTTCTGGTTTGGAATTTGGTTTATGGGCATAGTCTTTAAGCACCTAGGAAATCATTGTTAATCATAACTTTAGTAAATTAATTTGAGGATGCTTCAACAATGGTTACGTCAATTTATGAATAGGACACATCAGAAGACAAATGTTACTGATTAGTAGTTTTTTCCTTGTTCCTAGGACTTGCATTGTGTGTTGTAGAGTCGTAATTGTGTTTAGTTGTGGCGTTTGTATGAGTATGCGTATCTTGTGTCATCTAAAATATTGGAAAAAGAGGTCCATTTGTCGTCTTATTCATACTTTGTTGACTTGCGTTGTGCAGGGGCTCAACAAATCACTCATAGAAAATTGTGCCATTACACTTGGAAGAATTGCGTGGGTATGTCCAGAGCTTGTTTCACCACACATGGAGCATTTCATGCAGTCATGGTGTCTTGCTTTGTCCATGTAAGTCGTTTCCCTGTTAACTGACTATGAAATGGATTTCCACTGTGTAGAAAGGTTATGTTTTTCAAGCTAGTGATAAGATGTTGAAGACAAAAAGTAGAAGTGTTCAATATCAGCTGACATGCCTAAAACCAAGTTGAACATAATTTGGAACAAATGTAGAGAACTCATGTACTTTATTGTTCAATGTGTATTTTCAGCAGACTATTGAACTTGTGCCTCCTATCAATGTTGTCAATAGTTTTTTGGCATTTGTTGTATGCTGCCAAATAGCAGTTTCTCCAAACCAAAGCAGGGTTGTCATTATGAAAATGGCCTATATATTTGAATTAACTACAGCACTTCTATATCCGCTATACAATATGTGATACTTTATTGTTTCTCACGTTACTTGATATTAGAAGTAACCTTTCCAGGTAATGAAAATATTTATTTAGTAATCTATCTCTTATCAACTTGTGACAGGATACGGGATGATGTCGAGAAGGAAGATGCTTTCAGAGGTTTATGTGCAATGGTGTGCACTTCTTGTTCTCATGTGTGATCGGATTTCGACCATAATATTGGCATTCTCTTCATGTTATTAATATCTTGCAGGTTAGAGCAAACCCATCTGGAGCTCTGAGTTCACTTGTTTTCATGTGCAAAGCTATTGCTAGTTGGCATGTAAGTGATGTGCTCACTTTTTTCATTAAAACCTTCTAAAAACAGACACAGATTGATTGCCGTAGTTATCTTGTACCAGGAAATTAAGAGTGAAGACCTACACAATGAAGTTTGCCAGGTGTTGCATGGCTATAAACAAGTAAGCATTTCCTTCCTGATATATTCAATTCCCTAAGACTTGAAAAGTTTACTTTCAACATTAAAATTTTTTATTGGTTGAAGTTGAAGATAAGTTACTTAAAATTGACTGTAAGATTAGATGAGAGTTACTTGTGAAAAGAAGGTTTTTTATTTATTTATTTATTTTTAACTCAAGTAAGAAACAAGTAGGTAATCCAAACATGTTTGGACCAAATAGGTACTTCTTTTAAGGCTAAGTAACAGTATCTTTACCTTGACGATGGTTGCAATGATGATAGTTCTGATTTCTGAACCTAATTACTTTGCTGAAGATATTTTAGTTGAGAACTGTATTTGAACATCTTCTTCACCTGTTATACAATGCCACCGTGGGGAAACAAAGGGAAACGAACAGAGGAAAAAAGGCACACTCAACCCTACATACACCACAAATGCAAGGACGGAGAAAGTGAAAATGAGGAACAAAATTTAAAGCAAGTTTTTCTTTGACAGGAGCGTATGTTTGATTTTTAAGCATTCCAAAGATGCTGACCACACAATTTGAATAAATCACTCTTGGGGAGATAAAATAATTAATATATCGTTAAATCAATGACAATTTTGCCAGATGCTAAAGAACGGAGCATGGGAACAATGTATGTCTACCTTGGAACCACCCGTGAAGGACAAGCTATCGAAGTATCAAGTATAATATTCCTTCAGTAGTACATGCTCTGTCGGGCAAGTGGCATCTTCAATGAATGGCCTCTTCAGTATTTGCATCATCAGCATTTTTATTGTTGTCATTTGAGATAGTTGTGAGGAGCCCACGTTTCACCTAGGATCCTTTTTCGGTAGCGTTAGCACATACATTCTCATTACATCTTGAAGCTTTTCATACCTTCTGTCCTGTCAACGGATTGACTTGTGAAATAGCATTTTATCGAATACAAAGGAGAAGGCACGGCCCAAGAATTCGATTTGCTGTACAGGGGTGTGCTACTAAAAATTTCAGATTCTTTTCTCCTGGGCTGAACGTGGAAGAGAAGGATATTCTTCTTGTTCAGTAAGTTTGTTTCATGTATTTTGCCTTGTATGAGTGACTCTTTTCAAAAAGAACTTTTAAGGTTCTGTGGGTAGGTTACAGTCCAAAAGTTTTGTTAGAAAAGGTGTCAATATTTGTTGGCTAGTCTCTTCCAGTTGATATCTGAACCCATATATTGTAATCTTTTTTGAAGGCAGAGCAAAATTGATGATGTTGCATAGGGTTCGATTCTATAGAATAATAAATGTGCTGTTAGCCT